GACGGGGCTAAGTCTGGGGGAGCCGGGGACGGGGGAGCGGGGGGACGCGGCTAAGTATGGGGGAGCCGGGGACGGAGCTACGTCTGGGGGAGGCGCCGGGAACCCGGGGCGTCTCTCCTCCCTCTGCTTTTCCCGCCGGCCCCGCCCCGGGATCCGCCGCAGCTTCGCGACCCTCCACGGCTGCGGGGGGCGGGGCTGCTCGGACCCCCACCAGCGCCCCCCGCCCGCCCGCTCGCCGCCCCCTTCTCAGCCCCAGTGGCCGCTTCCTGTTCCGAAAGGACAACTTCGTGCAGCCGGAACCTGGGCTCACCCTCGAGGGCCGAGGACTCTGGAAGCTCCAGAGTTTGAAAGAGGGTGGGGGGGGGGGGGCGGGGGGGTGCGGAGCGACCCTCCGGGAGCTCTTGACAATCTGCCGCCCAAACCTGCTTTGGCCCCCGGAGTTCAGAAAAGCCCCAAGAACGAAGACACCCCCCACCAGGACAAACCAAAACCACACGCCCTTCCCCCACCCCGTGGACTTGGTGGGCGGTGACAGGGAGGGACCTGCTTTGTCTCCCCTGAAAAGGGAGGCAGGGAGGGGCGCCGGGTGTGTCCCACCTACTAGGGAGCCTCGGGCTGGTCTTCGCCGCTCAGCCAGTTTCTCTATCTGTGAAATGGGAACAAGGCTCCTTTTTGAGATCTGAGTGACTGTGGGGCCTCAGCCCAGCGCTCAGCATGACGTGGGGGGACCGAGGGAGGGGCAGCCAGGACAGGGCTTGGTGGCCTCTGCACTTGACCTGAGTCAAGGCCTGAGTCTTCCCTGTGTCTTTGAGGGGACCGGTCTGCACACTGCCGAACATGGGGGCTTAGGGGTGCATGAGGGCCTGGCTGGGACCAGCAGGAGGGTCCAGGTGCCGTCCGTGGCTGTGGGCCCTGACCCCTCCATGCTGTAGTGCCCAGCTGTGCGGTTTCCAGGCTCACATGCTGGCTCTTTGTGAACTAAAGCAAGTGAATTCAGCTCTCCGGCCTCGGTTTCCTGATCCGTAAAATGGGAATAATAGGTGTGTGAAGGAGTTAGAAGATGTTGACCCACAAGTGTGCCAGGCAGACGCGGTCCCTGCTCTGCCATGCCCACAGCCTGCAGAGGGGAACAGGGTGAGAAGCAGGGCACTGTGCAGAGCAGGAGCCCAGGCCGAAGCTGGGCACCCCCACCCACCCCGGTCCTGCTGGAAGGGAAGCGTCTTGGGGGCTCCCTGGAAGAAGTCAGGTCCAAGTCAGCTGGAGGGTGAGATGGTCTCCCCCAGCTGGTCACTCGGGAGAAACCCTTGCTGGGCAGCCTCCCTGAGGGCGCTGGCTCTCCAGAGGCCGTCTCTGACCCACAGGACCAAAGCACTTTCCACCTACACATGAGGCACAGAGGTGAAGCAGTGAGAAGAGGGGTCCCGGGGTCCCCACAGCCCACGTGTGGAGCATGAGTCCCCTCCCCCCACCCTAAGGACGGCTGTCTGTGTCCACGTTGTGAGCCAGGCGCAGGAGCTCCCTGAGAGCTCGGTGTGAGTTTCAGTTCTGGTTTCCGGATGGATCTGGGCTGCTCCTGTCCTTAGCTCAGGGGACTGTCCTGTGGATCAGTGTCCTTATTTCTGGTGACTCCCTGGCCGAGGCCAGAACCCCCACTCCCCCGGTCCCCGTTTGGGGTCAGTCATCTCGGTCAAGACAGGGCCTGGCTGGCAGCCCCACCCAGGCAGGCTACATTCCCTCTGCATCTGGTTTCCTTATCTGCCGGGGAAAATACCCACCTTCCAGAAGTTTGGGGAGGAGCAGAAGACACAGTGGGTGATGGGGCATTCAGAGGGCACGGTCTGTGTGTCTGTCCCGCAGCAGGTGAATGGGTGGCAGGAGACCTGTCACCCTCGTGGGCACCTGTCAGAGGCAGGCTCTGATTCCCACCCTTTGGGGGAACCCTGTGAGTGGCAGCAGAGCCAGGACAGGGCCTGGGCTTATGGCACATTGTAGGGCTGTGGGTCCTACAGGGTTGTGGGGTGTCCCTTATGCTGTGCTGAGGTGCAGAATCTGAGAATTAAAGAGACAGGACCCTGGAGAACTGGAGAAGAGCAGCTGGACTCGGGGGGCCATGCTGCCTGTGAGCAGGGACAGACGAGGCCCTGAACGCTCAGAAGCATCTGGGTTTATTCGGTACAAGCAGGGGAAAGGGTCGTGAGTGAGGTCATCATCTACAGGCTTAGTAATAAGGCATACATAATCACCTGAGTCACAAGCGAGGGGGCCACCCCATTATGTCACCTGGGCAGAGAGGTGGGCCATGCGCAGTAGTAGAGGGTTGTGTACAGAAAAGCGGTCCACCCCCATTAGGTGACCGAGGCAGAGGTGGGCTGTGTGCAGCAGGTGTCGTGGGCAGCACTTCTTACCTGGGGGCAGGAGGCTTCAAAGGGTTTCTAATAGAAGGATGCTGTAAGCCAGTGCAGTGGGAGCTGACAGACGTGTGCTCTTCTCTAAGATATTTATGGGAGGATGATTTGAGCCAGCACAGAAGCGAGAAAAGACTGACAGGGTGCACAGCCGCCACGACTGGTCACACCAGGGGGGTTCTTCTCCCTCGGTTACTTCCAGGATCTCAGGCCTGAGGCCGATTTTCCACAGGAACTGGATGCAAGGTGCTACAACTCCTTTATCAGAGGAGAGGCTCCTGCTCCAGGCCTGCCATACGGCGTTTGCCCGTTCAGGCAGGGACGCCACCGCCTGGGTCTTTGGTTCTCGTCCTGGTCTGGCTGTTCTCCTATGTACTGCTTCTGTTCTGTGACTGCTCCGGGCATTCCTCCTAGTACAAACTACTATACGGTTGTATGGAAGGATTCTATAAATCAGCACTAAATGTGTCGGTACAGCTCCGACTACGATACCTGTGTGATTATATAGAAAGATTACATGGGACTAAGTATGATCATATACGTAAGCTAGATATAGTAAGCAGTGAGTTATGCTTCAGGCACTCACTGTGGGTGAGGTCTGCGCAGTTCTCCTTCCTCGGTGCTTGTGGCAGGCGTTACCCTCAGCACGTCTCGTTCAGAGCGGAGCTGGAGCTGGGGACAGACTGGAATGCACTTTGGGCTAAGCCGGCTGTGTCCCGGTCGGAGGCCCAGGCACACTTCGCCCCCACCGTGCAGGGTGGCTCCCACCTTAGCTGCCCAGGGTTTCCCCCCTGCAGCCCTAGGGGCCTTGATCCAGGTGACAGGTGTTTCCAGCAGCCTCGCCCACAGTAGGCAGGACTCCTGACTACCAGCAGTGTCTCCTGGGGGGCAGAACTGCCCCAGTGAAGGCCGCAGAGCCAAGCCCCTGACCACCTTGCAGAGGGAGCTGGCTGATGTGTGCTGCGTGACTTACAAAACCAAATCCTCCCCCTGCTGATGTGACTGATTCCACAGCATGGCCGGGCAGAATTACCGAGGACAAGGGCGTCATTGTGGCTTGAGTTTGCTTGCACTGAGGTTGGATGGACAGGTGCTGGAGAGGCCACACCACACTGGGCCGAGTGGGGTCAGCCAGACCTAGAGGCCAGGGTAGGAGGGACAGAGCTGCCTGAGGACCACGTGAAGCTGGAGGCCCGTGCAGTGTCCCAACTGGAGGGGCAGCACACTTGGGGCAGTTGGGTCCTGGCCGTGAGTGCAGCTGTGCCTAGAGCCCCAGGCCCCGGCTGGGAGACTGTACTGCTGTGGGTAAGCAGGAGGGATGGGGCTGGTGCCCGCTGGAGTTCCTGGAAGCACATCTCCCCGGAAAGACGAGAACGGGGCTGCAGGGCAGCCTACCCTTCAAGGCCGGGTCTGAGATACGACAGTCCAGCCAAGGCCGAGTGCACACAGGACCAGACAGGCCGGGCGGGGGCCCCTGAGGCTGGCCGGAGACCACGGGCTCCACCCGCTCACCTCTGCTGCCTGCCATCTCCTGGCAAGTCCCTCGTGCCCCATAACCACCTGACCCGTGTCACCTGTGTGGGGGATACCAGGTGGGGTATTTAGTGGTAAAGAGAAGAGAGACAGCTCTGGGTCCCAAGGCTCAGCCGTAGGAGGTCCTTTCCAGTGCACCCTGAGCAGAAGCAGCAGGAAGCCACCCAAAAAGTGGCACAGCCGGGTGCGGTGGCTCACGCCTGTAATCCCAGCACTTTGGGAGGCTGAGGCGGGTGGATCACGAGGTCAAGAGATCGAGACCATCCTGGTCAACATGGTGAAACCCCGTCTCTACTAAAAATACAAAAAATCAGCTGGGCATGGTGGCGCGTGCCTGTAATCCCAGCTACTCAGGAGGCTGAGGCAGGAGAATTGCCTGAACCCAGGAGGCGGAGGTTGCGGTGAGCCGAGATCGCGCCATTGCACTCCAGCCTGGGTAACAAGAGCGAAACTCCCTCTCAAAAATAAAAAATAAAAAAAAGTGGCACAGATGGGCCTGGAGGCCTGTGTGGGACTGTCCTGGCCCAGCGTCTGCTCCCTTTGAGCGGAGGCCCCTTGCAAGTTGGTTCTTGGCATGGAACACCAGGGCCTGTCTGGGAAGGCACAGTGTCAAGGGAAGGAGACCAGGGCAGAGCGAGTGCCAGGGCAGGCATTTGCTCTTCAGTTTGGGAATTCAGCCCGACTGTCTGTGGGGACATGAAACTGTCCCTGTCCCCCAAGGGGGCTCACAGACATGGGGAGACGGGGGACAGCCAGCCAGCCAGCCAGCCTGCAGCTTCTTCTGCCCTGTGCATGCCTGAAGGATCTTTCCCGGCGGTCCCCGCCCAGCGCGTCCAGGCTGCCTTTGCTGGGGAGCAGGCCTGCCACCGGCCCGTGTGGCTGCCGCAGGGCGTCTGACCTGTCTCTGTGGCACTGTAGCTGGACGTGGCCAGCTGCTGAAAGGAGTCTGAGCTCTCGGCCTCTCCCCTTCACTGGCCGCAGGCACCAGGCGCAGGCCAGCATCTCCATGAGGAAATGGAAGGAGACCGCTGCAGAGACCAGCCAGCTGCAGGAGAGGCTGCGGAACACGGACCTGGCATGGGGCTGGGGTACCAAAGGGCCCTTCCGGTCAGACACCTGGGCCTCCCACCAGCATAGGGTCTCTGTCCACAGTAGAAGCAGAAGCAGTCAGCCACCAGCAGCAGATGTTTGAGGACAGCCTCGTGCCTGAGAGACAGAGGCCAGCAGAGGTGGAGACAGGAGGGAGCGTATGGCGGGGGCGCGGCTCCAGCAGCCACACAGAAGGAAGGAAACTCGCTCCGGAGAAAACACTCCTTCCTCTCTGCGGTAATGGAAGATGTCACACCCATAAAACAAGAACAGGCTGCCAGGAGTGAAGAGCAGAGGGCTTTTTGAGGATAATGAAAATGACAAGACCAGAGCAGATGAGATCAGGTGGGGAAAACCTCCCACGGAGGAGAGCAAAATGGCGAAAAGGTAAGGAATTGGGAGGAAATGCCAGAGCTTAATGCTCATTAGTGGGTATCCTGAAAAGACAGAGTGGAAGACATACGAAAATCTGTGCAGCCTCAAAAGACAGGAGCGACCCTCAGGGAGTTCCACCCGGTGCCTGGCTCGGTGAACGAACGCGGACCCTACAGAGGTACATCAGCATGACTGCCAGAGTTCCCAGGTCCAGCAGGTACCCAGACCCTCAGCGGGGCCAGGGAGAACCACACACAGGAAGAGATCAGGGAACAGGGGCACCTCCCCAGCAAGTCTGAAGACGCGAAAAGAGGGTGCCCAACTCTGGGGAAAAACTGTCTGCAGTGAGAACTCTCACCTTGTTACCAGTCAGGGGAGAGGAAGAAAGAGACATTTTCAGGTAGTCCAAGAGCTGCCTCCCATGTGGCTTCCTGGGACAGTGCCTGCCTGGGGATGTGCTTCCTCACGTGAGGGCCTGGAGCGGGTGAGAGGGGACCCGGGGCCAAGCCTCCAGCCCCAGAAGCAGCAGAGGAGGTCCTGGGGACCCCCCAGGGTGAGGCCCAGAGCACCGGGCCCTCGGGGGAAGGAGGATGGGGGGTGTCTGGGAAAAACATGGAGCTGGCCTGCCGTACGTATGGAATACGTTCTTAAGAAGCACGCGGAGACGCCGGAGCACTGGGGGAAAAATCACCTGGGGAAACCAGGCTGGTGGAATGAGAAAATAATTAACCAGAGATGGGCGAGGCCTTACTCTGCCCCAGGGCTCAGCGCCTGGTGCTGGCACAGGTATTGCATGATGGGGCCGGCCGCGATGGAGTCCTCGTCCAAGAGGCAGGGAGAAGGCAGGGATGCCCAGAGGAAGGGCCCTGCAGAGCCGGCTGTGCCTCATTCTGGGAGAGACTGAAGAGCCCGGAGCGGTGCCCTCTGGGGATCAGGACAGCGTGGAGGAGGGGACGCCGGCTGTCATGCTGAGTCTGGTGTTTGTTGACTTTTGAAACGGTGTCCATGTCTTAATAGTTCTTTAGTAAAACTGAAAACCAGAAGCCAAAGTACACGGGTGCCTGCCAGGGCCACAGCTCCTGGGGGGGCTCCAGGTTCCAGAGCCCCTGCCCACACCCCTTAGGCTCTCTTGTAGGCCTGTGGGTGTGGCTGCCTTGCTGGGAGCGGAGGTCACACCCAGCGATGGCTCTGGCTCTCCCGCTTGGGCGCCTCCCAGCAGTGGAACAGACTTTGACCTCTCCTGGGACAGCAGCTGCCAACCAGGGAGTGCTACTGGCCAGGGCCAGGACACTGACATGGTCAGGGACGGTCAGGCCTGGCCAGTCTGGCCCCATGGGGAGGAGGAGGGCCTCTCTGAGAGCTGGAAGGGGGACAGTGCAGGTGGGGTGCTCTGTGTTTAGGGGCTGTGGGGTCTTGGGGACATTTGTTTGATGGGAGACGGGGCATGGGGATGATGTGGGCATGTGAGTGCCACCTGCCCTTTACAACCACGTAAAATGCTCTCCAGGGAAAGAAATCACGCTTAGAATGAAGGACTGCGGGAGCGTAGGCTGCCCACGCTGGCCACCCACCCGGGAGTGCGCCCTGCTTGGCGTGTAGACACACAGAAGCCTGAAAGAACAGATTTCTTGGCCAGGCCCCTGTAACACAGACACGACACTGTGAGGGGTGATCCTGGGATGGTGCAGACCTTGGTCAGCGTCACGGACACCAGCCCTGGGGGAGGCCTGTTGTGTCTGCCACTGTCCTCAGCCGGTGATTCGGAATGTCCTGAGGAATGTGGAGGCTGCGGGGCTCCAGGGACCGCCCCTCCCTAGGCCTGGGAGGCTCAGCCGCACATGCCTTCCTGTGATGGTTTTATCAGAGAACTTGTGTCCTGGGAGAGTGTGGTGGCTCCCAGCTGAACAGGGACAGAGGGACGACCCGATTGCCCTTCGGGTGCTCCAGAGGTGCTAATTCGGGTCATTGTGTGGCTAAGTCTAGGCAGCCTTCCTGCAGGAAGTCACGTTGAGTGAGTGACTCAGCCTTGTTTGCCCAACAGAAAAATTGGCTTCCACCCCCAAGGGACTCTGGCCGTTTTCAGGTGTGTGAAGTTCTGGGTGTATAAGGGGCGTGCTGAGTGATGGCTGTTACTGTTTTTATTTATTTTTTTAAAAAAGGGAAAGAATGAAGCCGTGAGTTTCCTCCATGTTGTTACCTTTTGAACCTGCGAAGCTCCGTAAGCACAGGGAGGGAGCGTGAGCTGTTCTCTGATTCAGCAAGGCCTTGCTCACCGCCACACGGACGCGTGCTCACAGCCAGCCGCGTCTCCTGTTACACGCTTTGCGTGCTCTACGCTTCCCGTAGAACCTTCAGGAGGTGGGCCTTGCTCTTATTGTGCCCATTCTATAGGTTTTAAAACTGAGGTACAGAGAGGCAGCATCACTTGCTCACTGACCTTGTGTCTTGGTCAGGACTGCCCCCAACACGTGTGGGAGTCCCTGAGCAGCAGAGGGGAGCGCCAGGAGCCTGGGAGAGCAGCCGCAGAACCCATTGCTCAGTGCTGAGATTTGTAAGCGCCCACAGGAGGGTTGCAAGCAGCCCGGGGCGTGAAAGGTCACTGTGGGCCTGAGCGCGGTGGCCAAGCAGTGCGCCGTCACTCAGGAGGTGACGTGCAGCCACCACAGCGCCAAGAGTGCCTGGAACAGACTTCCAGGCCTGGCTCCTGCAGGCCGGGTTGGCTGGGGGCTCTGCACATCAGTCACACGGAGGTCCAGGCCATCGGGGCTCTGCCTGACCACACATGCCCAGTCATGGCAGCCAGGGAAGGCCCAGTGGCATGTCGAGAGCTGGCTTTCCAAATTCCTCCCTGGCAGAGACACATGTCCCAAAGCCAGTCTCAGGACCGTGCCTTTCCCACAGGGCAGGAGGGCAGCCCTGCCTTGGGTCTGGAAGGAGGAAACAGCAGTGTCGGGTGCAGGGCTGCCAGTCCCGGACCATGAAGGGGACATCGGGGTAGAGATGGGCTCAGGGACCTGAGCTGCCAGGAGGGACGGGCAGCAGCATGGCGGGGCGGGGCCGGAGCGTGGAGTGGTCGGTCTACGGCGATGTGTCCAGAGCAGCCCCACCCCACGCAGGGTGATGCAGGTGAGGCGCCGGTGGCCGGTGTTGTGCCTGACTCGGGCCGGTGCCTGATGAGGCTCCTGAGACCGGAATTGTCATGCCCAGTTCAGAAACGTGGAAAAATGCAAGCACGTTGCTTGGTGTGTGGAAGGGTTCCATGGACAGTCCGACACAGTCACGTCACCACGTGGCTGAGGGAAAGGGGAATCACAGGCCTGGGTCGTTTGCCTGACCCCTCCGCCAGTGGAGGCAGAGGCTGTGGCCACTGATGCCGGCCTCGGGAAGCCCCACGGTGCAGCGCTCTCGCCCTCGTGTTCACCACAAGGACGTGGTTCAGGAGGCTGCGTGGCTGCAGGTGTGAGCCAGGATTCCAGCCCTGGTCTGCAGGGCTCCAGGGCCATGTGCCTGAGTGGCCCCACCTGCCTCCCGGCTCAGGAACATGTCCTCAGCGCGTCCCGCCCGTCAGTGTGGCCTCCCAGCCTCCCAGGTCCAGCCTCTCCCCGCAGGCTGCGCCCACCTGGTCCCTCAGAGCTTTGAGAACCAGCACCTGTCCAATCCCGTCCCATGCCCAGCCTGCAGCCTCAGACGTGGCTGGCTCCTGGCAGTGAGGGCCGGCCGTGCTGCTGACCCGCTCTGTTCCTGGCTGTGCCTCTGTCCTTGCACAGTTTGTCCTGGGAGCTGTCCAGGGGCCCCATCCAGGTGTCTGCCAAGGAGCAAGGGGGTGGACACCCAAGGGGACTGCGGAGAGCAGCCTCATGAGACCCTCACTTCTGTCCATCCACCAGGTCCTGGCAGCTGCCCAGCATGTCCCAGTGGCACTCAGACAGCTCCTTGGAGGAGAAGCTCCTGGAATACCGCTTCCACTCGGAGCTCCGGCTCGATGCCAGTGGGAACCCAGCCTCTGGGCTCCCGATGGTCCGTGGCTCCCTGCGCGTCAGGGACAATGCCGCCTTCCAGCCCGAGGCCCCGGCACCCCCAGAGCCTCAGCTCCCAGGGCACGAGGAGCCACGGCCCATTGTCCTGAGCACAGAGAGCCCAGCGGCCCTGAAGCTGGGCACCCAGCAGCTGATCCCCAAGGGCCTGGCCGTGACCAGCAAGTCAAAGACCCCAGCCCGCCACCAGAGCTTCGGGGCAGCTGTGCTCAGCGGGGAGGCTGCTCGGCGGAACCCCCCGCTCCTCCCAGCTGCCAGCTTCTCCTTGGATGACATGGACGTGGACATGGACCCCCGGGGCATGCTGAGGCGGAACCTACGGAACCAATCCTACCGGGCGGCCATGAAGGGCCTGGGGAAGCCAGGTGGCCAGGGGGACGCCATCCAGCTAAGCCCGAAGCTGCAGGCTCTGGCCGAGGAGCCCGGCCAGCCTGCCACTCGGAGCACGGCCAGACACAAGGTAGGGGCCTGCCCTCATGGACCAGGGGAAGGGCTGCTAGGCAGAGGGGTGGCCTGACCGGTACACCACTGTCGTCTGCATCACGGCGGCTGCCATTAGTAAGCACCTGCTGCATGAGGGCTCTCGACTGGTTTATTCCAGTTCAGCCCAGTCTATGAGTGTGAAGATCCCACCTCGCAGAGGAGGCAGCAGAGGCTCAGAAAGGTCGAGGCTTCTACCCAGGCTCCTGGACTCTGGTGTCCCTGCTCCCAGCCTTGGTGGATGGCAGGGCCCTGGAAGGGCCCAGCCCCTGCTTCCGAGCCCTGCCTGGGAGCTAGCCTGCCTGGATGGCGGGGTCCAGGGTGGCCTTGCTGCAGTAACTGGCCTGGCTCCATCTGCTCTGGCAGCTCCGGGCAGTGACTCAGTGGGGCAGCCACTCAGTGGCGGCCGGGGGTTCAGGAGAAGTCTGCATGTTGCCTCTGTACACGGAGCCCTGCTTCCCTGCCTGCTGGCGGTGGCTCTAGGTCTGGGGCATGGTGGCGGCAGACCCTTCTCTGGGCAGAGTGTAGCCTGCTGCATGTGCCACTAGAGCCCAGGGGACGGAACAGCCACCTGGGGCTCCTGAGCCCAGCATCCCTCATCCTCCGAGTCACCGTTCCCTATGGCTGGGGGCCAGACCTTGCTTTCAGGCAGCCTTGGAGGTGGAAGCCGTGTTCAGGGAGAGCTGCATGGCACCTGGACACCCACACGGCCAGGACTGGGACTCTGGCCACCCTGCTTGGTCTCGTTAACTGGTGGGCCTGGGTGCAGGCAGGGCTGTGATGCAAGGAGAGTTAGGGCAGAGGCAGAAAGGAGAGAACGGGGTGGGGGTGGGGGAGACGGAAGGGGACCGGGGGAGCGCTTGAGGAGGGTGCGGGGCACAGGGCTGAGTGTGCCAGGCCAGGTGCATTTGGGAGCGCTGCATGTTCCCAACCAGAAAGGGGAGTTTTCATGCCCCAACTTGTTCCAACAAATCAGCCCCTCTCCTGGGAACCAGCGCACCTGGACGGCTGGCAAGTGTGGTGTCCCAGCCAAGGAGGGTGGGCTCTGAGCCAGGCACCTGAGCACGGGGGCTTCCCAGAAACCCAGCCCTTCTCATCGCTTCTGCCATCCCAGCCTTCTGCTGCGGCCCCCAGGCCCTTGCTTGGGGCTGGACACTGACCCACCAGTCCCTGCTCACCTGCCCCACCTGGTCCTGGTCCCCAGGGGCCTGTGTGCTGCCCCACTGTTCCTCCACCGCCCTCTCCCACCCACACCTGCCCTGCCACGGGTTCCCTCCAGGCCTGCTTGAAACTCCTGAGCATCCCCTCACGATGAGTTCAACTCTTCCTCCTCCTCCAAGCAGCCCTCCTGGACCTGACCGCCCTCAGCCATGTGTCCTGCCTGCTCTGAGCCTTCCACCTGTCCTGGCCTTTGCTTAGACAGGCGGCCCTGAGGCCGTGTGGAGTTGGCATTTATTGTGCACCTTTTGTGTGCCTGTCGGGGCCCCTCCCGTCAGGCACAGCTTCAAACATGGAGCCGTGAGGTCCCTGGGCTCTCTTTAGCTGGTAGGCCCGGGCTCAGGTGGGGCTGGGGTGCAGCGTCGCAGTGGGCCCGGGCTCAGGCAGGGCTGGGGTGCAGCGTCGCGGTGGGCCTGGGCTCAGGCGGGGCTGGGGTGCAGTGTTATGGTGAGCCACACCTGCCCTGGCTGACGGCTGCGGTTTCTGTGTCTCTTTTGTGCAGAAGACGCTAGGGCGGAAACGCGGACACAAGGGCTCCTTCAAGGACGGTGAGTGGCTTTGGGAGGAACCGCGGACCGGGAGGGGCTCCAGTCGAAGCTGGTCTCGCTGGGACATCCGGGGGGTCAGGTGGGCCTCAGTTCGGTGTCTCGGGATGACCAAAGCAGCTTGATGGGGTCCTTCCAGAGGCTGAGGTCCTGAGGTCCCAGTGGCTGGTCTGACCATGCAGCCCTGATGAGTCTGGAAAGGTCTAGAAAGTTCCCCTGGACTCTATGTGATCTGAAGGGCAGGGCACAGACAGAGACCCCAGACTTGCCCTGAACACCCATATATGTGCTGGGCTCGGCCTGCAGTGGCAGTGTGGGGGACCAAGGCCACATCCGAGGGCGCCAGGCCCACACCACGGCCTCTGTTTGGAATCCGAGGCTGGAGGGGAGCCCTGTGTTGGGGCCTCCAGCTGGGGTGGGGTAGTGCCCACTCAGCCAGCTGGTGGGACATGAGAGCACCCCACGAGAGGCTGACATAGGGAGGTGCCTGCTGCCGGGGTCAAAGTGCCCGGGGTGTGAAGAGGTCAGAGGCCTGGGGGACTAGGGCCTCAAGTGCCCAGCTCCAGGCCTGGCCTTTGTCCAGAGGCCCCAAGGCACAGTGGCCCTCTCCAGCCCCCAGGAGCTTTGTGGACAGGCATGGGCCCAGGAGGGGACACTGAGGCCTCCTCTACAGAAATCTCAGGGAAAACCATGCCCAGGAGAGCAGCAGTGATACCCCGAGTCTCGGGGTAAGGCTGGTGTGGAGGCACCTGAGCCGGGTCCGGCCCATTTCAGGAGGGGCTTGTGGCGTGGGAGAGGTCTCAGGACTGGCGCCCAGCACCTTCCCGCCCAGCACCTTAGGTGGCCCCCACCCAGAGCCTCCCTCTCCCTCATAGCTGTGGAGCCTGTGGGCCTTAGAGGACCTGAGCGGGAGGTCCTGTCCTGCCCGATCCCATCACGGGCTCCGAGGAGGCCTTGGGGAGAGCTCAGCCTGCGGGTTCCAGGGAGGCCCAGCCTTTTCCAATCCCCGCTTCTCTCTCCAGACCCCCAGTTCTACCAGGAGGTCCAGGAGCGGGGCCTGAACACCAGCCAGGAGTCTGATGACGACATCCTCGATGAGCCCTCCAGCCCCGAGGGAGGCCGGAAGGCGGACGCCACCATTGTGGTCAAGAGCTACCGGCCCGCCCAGGTCACCTGGAGCCAGCTCCCGGAGGTAGCGCTGGAGGGTGGTGAGGCCGCCCCATGGAGGCAGGCAGAAGCCACAGCCCCTCCCCCATGCCGCTGCTCCTTCCCCGAGCCCAGGTGGCTGGTCCCCAGCAGCAGCCCAGTTCTCCGAGGGACGGTGGGCAGCCCTCGCAGGAGCCCCTCGGCTGTGTGCAGCGGACCTATGGGTCTCCCATCTCCCTCCTATGCCCGGCATTGCCCTACCCATGTGGGGCTGGCTCAGCACCTGGAGCGGTCACGGGAGGGTGTGCCACCGGGCATGCGAGTTTGCCCTCTGCCATCATGCGTGTGAGGGGCGGCCCTGCTCAGACTCCCCTGCAGGGAGCTGCAGGCACCAGGAGTTCCTTCCCAGGAGAGGGTGGAGGATCCGCATGAAGAGACAGCTGGGATGGGAGTAGCCGGGGCTTGGAGCTAGGGGCAGGGCCAAGCCACCCCTTAACTTTTCACATCTGAAAATGGGGGCTCGTCCCCACCCTGCAGGGTCTCAGTGGAGAGCATGGCCCAGAGCAGTCCCCGTGCTTGTGGGAGTGGCTGCTCCTGCCCCAGGTGGACTGCACATGACCCCCGCCTTGAGGGCCTAGGGAGGGGACCATGTGGCTGTGGGCACGGCGGGCATCAGGGAGGGCAGGCCCCCACCTGCAGTACAATGGGGCCCCTTGTTTGCCATCTGGAGGGGCTGGCACTGCAACCGCCCACCACGCTCCAAGGCGCTGCGTGCCCCGGGACCCCGGCCAGGGCAGACCCAGCGTGGGGTGAGGGCAGGCCAGGAGCAGCCTCCCCACAGACAGAAAGGTCTGGAAGTACAGGCTTACTCCCCTTTGGAGCTGGGCATGTGTGGTCTCCCTCTGTCTGGGGTGAGGTCCAGCACTGCACCCTGGTAACTGCAGAGATTCCGGCCCCTCGTGGGAAGGAGGAACGGGCTTGGGGGACGAGGACTCACCCTTGGACAAGGTGCTGTTGGCGGCCTTTCTGCCCAGCCCAGTGAGGAGCAGAGCACGAAGCAGGGTGACCCAGGTCCTGCAGAGGGGATCCCTGGGCAGTGTGGCAGCCCGCTGTGCCTGACACGCTCTGCCAAGGGAACCACGCTCCTGCCAAGGTGACCCGCCAGCTGTGGCCCCTGAGGAGGAGGGAGCCGGGTGGGCACAGCGTCACCCATACCTTCACTGGCACCTCGCCCAGGTGGGGTCTGGGCCACAGTCCTGCCCTCCACACTCTCTCGCTGGGCGGGCTCTGCATCTCCATCTGCTGGGAAGGTCTTTGGGACGAGACCCTCCGGCCTTTCCCTCTGGATGACCCGTGTTCTTTTCTGGGCTGCTCTGGGGCTCTTTGGAGGGGTTGGGCCTGCTCATCGGCATCCCCTAGGAGGGCTCCGCAGAGAGGAAGGCGGCAGGGATAGGTCGGCTCCAGGGCGGACTTTACCGAGCCCAGCGGGGTGGCTGTGGGTGTCTGCCCACAAGCTGTCTATCAGGAGGTCCATCAGGAGGAGGACAGAAGGGAGATTTTGGCACAGGCTTCCAGGACATGTGACCTGGAGCTCCTGGGCCTGTGTCCCCCCAGGTGATGGAGTTGGGCATCCTGGAGCAGCTCTCCACTGAGGAGCGCAAGAGGCAGGAGGTGAGGGCCCCGGGCGGGAGGGCTGCCCCACCACAGCCTGGGCCACACCACACCCGGGAAGGGGTAGCAGCCAGGTGGCGCCACCAGCCATCCCTCTGTGGCCACCTCCAGCTCCAGGCCCTGTCATGATGACCAATGCCTCGCACAGGCCTGGCTGTGCCTCCACTCATGCTATGCCCTGATGGAGCCTCTTCGTGACACCGGGTGAATCCTCAGAGTCCAGCGGCTGCCATCACCCTCTTTTCCAATGAGGACGGGGTTCATTGCCCAGCTTCATGCAGCTCATAAGGCACCCAGCCAGGGGCACGCAGGGAGGTCAGCCTGGCATCCCCAGGCTGGCTGTCCTGACAGGCCCATCCAGGGGTCTGTCTGAAGCTCCTGTCCCCACCTACCCCTGCCACCTGGGCCAAGTCCTGTTCTGAGCATCAGTCCCTGAGGCATGCCCGCATCCAGCGTCACTGTGGGGCTCACCCAGGCCCCTCTCCGCAGGCCATGTTTGAGATCCTCACGTCCGAGTTCTCCTACCAACACAGCCTGAGCGTCCTGGTGACAGAGTTCCTGCAGTCCCAGGAGCTGCGGGCGACCATGACCCAGATGGAGCATCACCACCTCTTCTCCAACATCCTGGACGTGTTGAGTGCCAGTCAGAGGTAAGGCCTCGCCACAGCCTTCACAGGGGCCTCTGCCAGGAAGGTGCCCCCCACCATGGGCACCACAGCGGCGTCAGCAGGACCTGGGGAGCCTGGGCTGCACCTTGATGGGGACGGTTTGGGGCAGCTGCTGGCTCCCATGGAGCGTGATGACCTCTGAGGGTCCTCGAGGCCACAGAGACCTGGACCCAGGGCCGGGCTGAGCGCTAGGCTGTGGCATCCTGGTTGCTCGTAAGACGTGGAGCACTTCTCCGGGCTGCAGCCCTGCCACACTGCCAAGCGCCATTCACCAGGACACCCAGGCACAGAGGGCCACGTGACCCAGGCAGTGGTGCCCACAGCTGCTCACCCGTAGTCAGGAAGCCTCGAGTTGCAGCCCTGGGTCATGTTCCGCCCAAAGGTGTCCGGTGGCTGGACCTGGGCTCTGGTTGCAGGGCCTGGAGCTGGAAGAGAATCTGGAAATGCAGCTGATGCAGCTACAGCCCAGCACGGGTGTGTGTGCACAGGTGTGCATGTGTGCATGGGTGTGTCCACAGGTGTGTGTGCCTAGAGAGTGGCTTGGGAGCATCTGGCACCCTGGTGTGTGTGCATGGGTGTGTATGTGTGGACAGCGATACGTGTGCATGGTGTGTGCCTGGGCAGGGGTGTGTGCAAAGGTGTGTGTGCATAGGTGTGTGTGCATGGGTATGCGTGGGCATGGGTGTGTGCGTGGGCAGGGGTGTATGTTCATGGGTATGTGTGTGCATGGACAGGTGTGTGCATGGGTGTGTGAGCAGGGGTGTATTGCATAGGTGTGTGTGGGCAGGGGTGTGTGTGCACGGGTGTGTGTGCCTGGAGAGTGGCTTGGGAGCATCCGGCACCCTGGTGTGTGTGCATGGGTGTGTATGCGTGGACAGGGATGCGTGTGCATGATGTGTGTGCCTGGGCAGGGGTGTGTGCAAAGGTGTGTGTGCATGAGTGTGTGTGCATGGGTATGCGTGGGCATGGGTGTGTGCATGAACAGGTGTGTGCATGAACAGGTGTGTGCACGGGTGCATGGGCAGGGGTGTATGTTCATGGGTGTGTGTGTGCATGGGTGTGTGGGCAGGGGTGTATTGTGTAGGTTGTGTGGGCAGGGGTGTATGTGCACGGGTGTGTGTGCCTGGGCAGGGCTGTGTGTGGTCTACACAGTGTGCTGCCCCTAGATGCAGGAGGACGCTGGGGCATCATCCAGTCCTCTGAGCCTCGGCCTCAGTGTTAACCGGAGGGGCGGTGCCTCTGGCCACCTCATGGGCTTGGGCGATGCCGGAAGATGATTAGGGGCCTGTAGTGCCTGGTACGTGGTGGCCCAGACAGCGGTGGCTGCTGGCTCATTCTTATATCAGCCCCGCCCCTGGCAAGTCCCACCCATCTGCTCCCTGTGGGGTGCCCTTGCAGAATTTGGGGACCCTGAGGGTGGGCAGGAAGCCACCTTATTCATGGAGGCAGGGGCTTCCTGTAGAGCTCCAGGGACCAGCTGTGGGAAATGCCCAATCTCTGACTCAGCGTGGGACGGGGTTGGAGAAGGGGAGGGGTCTGGGACAGTGGCTGCCCATCCCCCAGCTCTGTCCCCAGCCATGCAGGCTGTGTGTCTTCGGAGCAGGGTCCCCTCTGTGTCAGGCGGCTGCGTGTTTGCCTCTGACCTCCCTGGGGCTTTAGATTGCTGCCCCAGGGCGGGAAACTCCGGCCTCCTCCCTGATCTGGGCTGCAGGACCTCCTGGCGTTCACAGTGAACTCTCTGGGGAATCATCGCTATTTGGGGTCAGCAGCAGGTGGCCGGCTCTCCCAGCCCCTTCTCAGAACCTGCAGTTGCCATGTGAGCTGCTGGCTGGCCTGGCACACACGCGTGTCTCGGCCCTGCTCATCCGGTGGCCGGGACCTCCCATGCCCTCCTGGGTCCTCGTCCACGGGGCCGCTGCTCCATCTGCTGGGGCTTCCCAAGGGCAAGTGGCTCCCCAGATGCTCTCCCTACAGGAATCATGGCTCCTACGTGGGTGGAAGGCCCAGTCGGGCCCAGTGAGCAGTGGGAGGAGGGACCCCGCTGACCTCCAAGCTGGGCAAGGGAGTCCTCAGAAGGACAGAGCTCTTGGGGTGGGAGGACCTCCCATGCCCGCGGCCTGGAGACATGGATATGATCTCAGGTTGGGTGCTCTGAGGGTCTGCAGGAAGGATGAGGCTCCGGCCACCACCTTGCACACTGGGTAGCCATTGTGGGTCCAGCTAAGTCCGGCCTTAGTGGCTCTGGCTGCCCATAGGAGCAGAACCTGGCAGCCCTGGCCCAGCTCTGACCAAGTGTTAACTCCCTTCGTCCCAGTCACCCTAAGCCAAGGCCTGGGTCACAGAGGAGGTCAGGGGCTCGTAGTCACCTCCAGGGAGTCCACCAAGAGCCCACATCTGCCCCTGCTCAGAACAGGTGGGGGACCTGGTAAAAGCAAACAGGCAGTTCATGAGCCCAGCTGGGAGCCTGGCTGGCAGAGCTGCTGGGATTTGGGACTCATCCTTGGAGGTATTGCCCCTCTGTGTGACCTGGAGGCTGGGCTCTTGCGCCTGTCCCTGAGCGTCCGCTCCTGAGTTTCTTCCCAGGGGCCGGCTGGTGCCATAGCGGGTGCCTTTTAGCTGGAAGGAGCTTGAAAGGGCAAAGGGCACCAACTGGACAGAGCACCAGGACAGGAGGTCCAAACGGGCCCACCTCTGGGGACAGTCGCTGGGGCTGCCGCTAGACAACAGAGGGATGACACCGGTGCATGGGATCGTGGCGGGGGCTCTCTGGCCGCTTCCCATCTGCCCTCCCTGCTGTCCTGCTTCCCTCCCTGAGTGCCTGCCACATGCTGCCTCTGGGACCTGAGCTCGGCTCCTGCCGTGTACATGTGTGTGTCTTGACTGTGCGTGCATATGCACGTCTGTATGTGTGCACACATGGGGCCCGACTGCCAGCCCTGTGGCGCCCTCCTCACCCCTCCCGCCCCTCCTCATCTTCAGGTTCTTCGAGGACCTGGAGCAGCGGCACAAGGCCCAGGTGCTGGTGGAGGACATCAGCGACATCCTGGAGGAGCACGCCGAGAGGCACTTCCACCCCTACGTCGCCTACTGCTCCAACGAGGTCTACCAGCAGCGCACGCTGCAGAAGCTGACGTGAGTGGAGCGCCCGAGGTCTCAAGCGCCCTCCTGCTCCCAGCCCGCCTTCTGCAGGCCCCGCCTGATTTTGGTACGGGCCGGCCGTGCAGAGCCTGGAAGAACAACCTTGCCCTCTTGCAGAAGCAGCAACGCCACCTTCCGAGAGGTCCTGAGAGAGATTGAGAGGCGGCCGGCGTGCGGGGGCCTGCCCATGCTCTCCTTCCTGATCCTGCCCATGCAGCGGGTAACCCGGCTGCCCCTCCTGACGGATGTGAGTTCACGGCCTGGGGCTGGGGCTGGGCACACCTTCCGGGTCCTACTGCCAGAGCCTCCCTCCGACGGAGCATGACCTTCTTGTGACCTTCTCCTCCCTGCCTGGCCTATCATATTTGAAGAGTTGTCACCATACAACAGCATTAATAACCACGACAATTCTGGTCACCGCCAACAGCGCTCAGTGCCGGGAGCTGTTCCAGCGCCTGGAAGATTTTTGTTCACTTACTCAGTGGTTCATGAGCTTCAGGCACACTGACAAGCTGGAACTGGCATCACCCAGACCCCACCCCACCAGTCCTTCTAGACGTGGTAGCTCTGTGGGTGTCCCAGTCACCTACTCTCCCCATTCTGTGGATGCAGAGAGGGGCTCTCCAGCATGGGCTGCATGTGTGGGATGCCAGCCTGCAGGGCAGAGGGTACACAAGGGTGAAACGTGGACACATGCACACATGTGTATATACAATGCACATGCATTCATATACATATATGCACATGTACACATGCATTGCATGTATGCGTGCATGCCCCTGTGTGCACAGTGCACACACATTTGCATACATGCATACACTGGCACTGCACACATGCACCCAGTGCATGCACATACACAAATGTACACACATACAGGTACACTTGTGCAAACAGTACACACGCATATTCACACACATGCAGGTACACATGTGCACACAGTACACACCCATATTCACACTTGCAGGTACACATGCACACAGTACACACACATTCACAGGCGTGCAGGTACACATGCACACACAGTTTACACGCATGAATGCTGCCTGCACGCACAGTGCACACCTGTATTCACACACGTGCAGGTACACGTGCACACAGTACACACCCATATTCACACACATGGATGCTGCCTCCACACACAGTACACACCCATATTGACACATGCAGATACACATGCGCACACAGTAGACACCCATGTTCACATGCAGGTACACATGTGCACATACAGTACACACCCATATTCACAGCATGCAGATACACATGTGCACACAGTGCACACCCATATTCACACACATGCATGCTGCCTGCATGCACACAGTACACACCCATATTCACACACATGTACGTACACATGTGCACACACAGTACACACCCATATTCACACACATGCATGCTGCCGGCACGCACACAGCTCCTCATACGGCAGGGCTGCCCGAGCCAGACAGAATCCCAAACTCCCGGGGGTCCCAGGGATGTGCAGAAATGGGGCTGCCGGGGGCCTCCACTGCCGATTCCCCACGTTGAATGTAGATGGCCAAGGATGGGAAGGGGTGGGTTCCGGGTGGGGATGCTAGCTCCTGTTCCCACTCAACCTGGCCTGACCTGGCAGAGCTCCAGGTGGCACTGAGGCCGTCGGGGACTGTACGTGCAGTGGGACCCTGCGGGAGCCCTTGGGAGGCCAGCTCTTGACCGCCCCACCCAGGGTCTGGTGTTGATGGGAGCTCCACAGCTGGGATGCCAGGGGGGACTCTCTGCCCCATGTCTGCTGTCCTGTACAGACGCTCTGCCTCAAGACCCAGGGCCACTCCGAGAGGTACAAGGCCGCCAGCCGCGCACTGAAGGCCATCAGCAAGGTGAGATGGGGCCTGGCCCCAGCCCCACCAGAGTCCCGTACCCCAACCCTGCCCCCACCCCACCCCACCCTACTTCACCCAGTGTCATAGAGCTGGCTCCCCGCACCGTCCAGGGCAGGGAGAGTCCTCCGAGTATCCATCCCAAGCCTTTCACAGCGCTGGCAGGAAAACCGAGGCCCAGAGTGGGGGACGGGGGGATGTCACACAGTTGATGTGCCCATGGCATGGCTGGTCCAGTGCAGCCACTGTGGGCAGCCAGGTGCTGCTGGGCAGGGGTCCAGGGCCCAGCAGCACCAGCCTCTCACACGGGCCCTGCCCTGCAGCTGGTGAGGCAGTGCAATGAGGGGGCCCACAGGATGGAGCGCATGGAGCAGATGTACACACTGCACACACAGCTGGATTTCACCAAGGTCAAGGTAGGTGGCCCCGGACCTCAGGCCACTCAGACCAGCTCCCGCTCAGCCCTCCCTGCTGGCCTGCATGTGAGGTCAGGTCACACCTCTGAGCCTGAGGGCTGGAGAGTAGGTGCCTGTGCTCATGAGGCCTGGGGGCTGGGCCTCCTAGGACTGGTGCCTTTGGCCTCTCCCAGCCTCAGTTTCCCCATCTGGGAATATCCTTGGTGTACCCCTCCCCAACTCCACTGGGTGGGCCTCTGTGGCCCTTGCCCCATCCCCAGGACTGCATGGGCAAAGGGCAGACCCCAGTCCGTCAGTGACAAAGCTGAGGGGCCGACAGGAGTGGCACAGTCAGCGCGCTTACCTGGGGACAGGGCTCTTTGCTGTCCCCTCGGGGGCTGGGCAGGGCCTGAGGATGCAGGGGAGGGGACAAGGTGATTCCAGGGCTGGCCCAGATCTCACGTTTCCCAGTGAGCCTTGGATTCTGGGTAGGGTGAAATGTTTCCATCCCAGGCCCAGGCAGCCCTAATCCCTGCCACAAACAGGCAGGGCTCGGACCTCTGCCTCCAGAGCCCCCCCTCCATCCCACACACTGGCCCTGTGGTCTGTTGCCGGGAGACAGCCCAGGGACCGTCCGGCAAGGTGTGCCCACATGGGCCTCCTGTCCTGGTGCCCCACCTAGTGGGTGCCCTTCAGAGGTGGAGCATGGAGTGGGTGACATGCTATGGGCCACCCTCGCTCAGGGCTGTGGACAACTGAGTAAGGATGCAGGGGATCCCAGCTGGGGGAGGGGGCTCCCGGGGTGGATCAGGAGCAGACGTCAGGGCAGTGACTTCCCACCCGTTACCCAGCCCACAGCCGTGCGGGCCTCACGCTTGTCTCCCTGATGCTCTTGAGTCTGGGGCACAACACCTGCCCCACCAGAGCAACGACCCCCTCCCAGACTTGGCCAACCCCTGACTGGGCCTCTTACCCCCACATGGTCTTGAAGCTGGTCTTTGAGACAGGTGTGGGAGCAGGGAGAGCAGGCCCGTCCAGGAGGGAGGGTGGCAGCAGAAGCCTGGAGCCGGGGGCGCTGGGGGCTCTGAGCCTATAGTGGGCACAGGCAGAGAAGACAGTGCCGCTGGGAGCAGCTTGGGGGAGGTGTCAATAGTGGCTGAGGAGTCGGGCTGGTGGGCAGGTGGGCAGGCTCCTCCTTCCCTCACTGCACCCCCCACCACCCTGTGCTGCCACCACCCACCGCGATGCCCACCCATCACCCCCACACTCCCCATCACCCCCACACTCCCCATCACCCCATCACCCCCACATCCCCATCACCCCCACATCCCCACCCCCATCATCCCCACGCTCCCTACCCCCAACACTGCCCACCTGTGGTGCCCACACGCTGCCTACTCCCACACTGCCAATCCCCGCACTGCCCACCCCCACACTGCCCATCCCTGCACTGCCACCCCCACACTGCCCATCCCTGCACTGCCACCCCATTGCCCCTGGCTCAGGATCTGAGAAAGGCCCATACGTGGAGCGTGGCTGTTGCGGAGGGGAACCTGCCTCTGCCAGCCCTCCGTCAGGGCCCAAGAAGCCCAGCGTCTGTGTAATCGCCATGGAGGGGTGAGGTGCGCGTGGAGATTCCCCAGCACTGGCCTTCGAGTCCTGGCTTGGGTGGAAGGTTCCATGGTCACGCAGCCCTGGGCTGTCGGGCAGGGTCAGGTCCAGGACGAGGCGCACCTTGATTTGAGGCCTGGACACATTGTGCCCCTTTCCTCTGTCCAGCCCCAAACCGGGGCAGCCAGCTGGTCACCCAGTCCAGAGGCAGGAGTCAGTCCCACTGGGTGCTGTGCGTCCTTTACTCCCTGGGGACCTGCTTGTCCTGGCTCTGCCCTCCCAGTCCCTCCCCCTGATCTCCGCCTCGCGGTGGCTGCTGAAGCGAGGGGAGCTGTCCTTGATGGAGGAAACCGGACTTTTCCGAAAACTCGCCAGCCGGCCCACGTGCTACCTGTTCCTGTTCAACGATGTCCTGGTTGTGACCAAGAAGAAGAGGTGGGCGTGGGGCAGGAGGGTGGGAAGCCCTGCTCTGCGGACACTGGGCCGCTGGCCCTGGGAAAGGAACGTGGGGGAGCCAGCCCTGAGCCCCTCTGACCTCAGAGCCGGGGCGTGGCTTCCACTCGGCACATACTAGACGTAAGGGTCAGGTGACGCCCACTGTGCAGCCTCTGGCCTTCTCTGCAGACCTAGGTCTGCCTGTCCGAGCCACGAGGAGGACTCAAAAGCTGTGGCCTCTGTTCCATGGTTTGGGGGAACTCCTGGAGGCCAGCCGTGGCTGCCTCCCCACTGCAGGGGAACTGGGTGGGACCTGGATGGGAGCCAGGCAGGCACCGGGCAGGAGCCAGGTGGGACCGTCCCACTGACCGACTGCCCATGTCCCCACAGCGAAGAGAGCTATGTGGTCCAGGACTACGCCCAGATAGACCACGTCCAGGTGGAGAAGATAGAGCCATCGGAGCTCCCCCTGCCCGGGGGTGGCAACCGCAGCTCCTCCGTGCCCCACCCCTTCCGGGTGACACTGCTTCGCAACAGCGAGGGCCGTCAGGAGCAGCTCCTGCTCTCCTCCGACTCCGCGTAAGGGGCTCCCGGGAGGGCAGCTCCCAGGCCACGGGCACCCAGCTCCACGGGGACCGGTTCATCCTCCCCACCTTGCTTTTCCGAGGCTGGCTCCGAGCGCCCACCGTGCACCCAGCCCTGCTGTCGGTGCCAGTGTAGAGCCATAGAACAGAAACAGCTCTGTGGCCTTGGAGTTTATGTTTCCAGGAGGGGATGGAGGCCACCAGGAGTGAGAACAAGGTGGGGGGTGGGGGGGCCATGAGGTTGCTCAGCAGAGGCAGAGCCTTGCCAAGGCCCCGTGGCAGGAGAGCCCTGAGGACACAGCCGCAGGCGGACAGCAGTGGTGCTGGGTGCAGCGCGCCCAGTGGGGTCCAATGTGGATGGCAGAGTGGTCCCAGCGCTCAGGATGGGAGTGGGCATGGTTGGGGGCTCTGGGACCCCCTGTGGAAGGCAGGCATGCGGGTGTGTCAGGCCCCATATTCCCCCCAAGTTCCTCTTGGCTGAGGACAGCCCTGGGCCCTGTTTACTGATGAGGGTGCTTCGTCCGTCCCAGCAACGGGCAGGGAGCTGGGGCCCAGTGCCAGGACACGGAGTGACCTTGGGTCCAGCAGGCTGAGGTCTGGAGGTGTGGCTGCTGCCCAATTCTGCCACCTGGGGTGGGCTGGGGTGACTGGGGTTAGCCTGCCTGACAGTCTGCTCACCCCCGCCACACATCTTCTTGCCACCCCCTTGGGTGGCTGTCAGGAGTCAACATGAGAGGGCAGGATTGGCCTGAGGCCTGGCTCATGCTGTCTCTGGCCCCCAGGAGTGACCGGGCGCGGTGGATTGTGGCACTCACGCACAGTGAGAGACGGTGGCAAGGCCCTGCCAAGAAGGGAGGTGAGTGCAGGCTGGGCCCGCAGGGCTGGTCTTCTGCCACGGCCCATGGGAGCCTGGCGCCTGGCCGTGTGCTGGGGTCCGCCAGTCGGGGGCGCCCCGGCCCCAGGGCACGTGTCTGCCGGAGGCTGTCGGGGAGTGGAGCCTGGCCCGTGCCTGCTGACAGTCCTGTGACGGCCGCTGCCCTACCCAGACCTGCCCCAGGTGGAGATCACCAAGGCCTTCTTTGCGAAGCAGGCGGATGAGGTCACGCTGCAGCAGGCAGACGTGGTGCTGGTTCTTCAGGAGGAAGACGGTGAGGGCGGGGCTTGGGCAGTGGGCACAGATGGGCGAGCGTCCAGCCGGGTGAGGTCCAGAGCATGCCGGGCTGCAGGGTGGCTACGTGTTCAGCCTGCCTCACCCTCCCTCGAGGGCCTCCTCAAAGGGAGCACTTCCACATCCCTGAGGCCCAAAATCAAAAGCAGGTTCATGGTCAGTGTGTCCCACGTGGGGAGGAGGAGGTGTCTCTGCCCTCCTAGGGGATCCCCGCGCAGCCAGGCACAGCTCACACAGGGCGGGGCTGTGTGGGGTGTGCTCAGCCCGCACCCTTCCCTGTGGCGAGCACCCGAGCAGGGGCCGGGGACCCAGTGACCGAGAGCAAGGCCTCAGTGGCTGTGTGCTCCGAGGCAGGAGCGGGTGGTGAGTTCCAGGAGAAGCCTGACCCTGGGCTGCTCAGGCCCAGCAGCTCAGAGGGCGGGGGACCGTGGCCCTCCTCTCACCTCCCTCCCACCCCCATCCGGCTTCAGGGTGGTTCTATGGTGAGAGGCTCCGGGACGGAGAGACGGGCTGGTTCCCCCAGGACTTTGCCCGCTGCATCACCAGCCGTGTGGCCGTGGAGGGCAACGTCCGCAGGATGGAGCGTCTGCGGGTGGAGACGGACGTGTAGCCCGGGCGAGGCCAGCCGGCGGCAGCCCAGCCTGTCCCCAGATCAGCAAGTGGCCGCGCCTGGCTCCCGAGAGTGTGCAGGGCTTGTCCCAAGGACCCTGCATGTTCCCTGGGGCTTCCCGCGACCCTGTGGCTGTGGTGCCCGGCTCTGGACACTTCACGGAAGGAAGATCACATGTGCCCCGAGGGACACCCCCAGGCAAGCTCAAGGGAGCTGTGCCGCGTCCCAGGGAGCCCAGCCTAGTCCCATGGGCTGGCCGAGCCCCTCTCAGCTGCTGGGTCCCACCACCTCCCTGCTGCACCCACGGGGCAACTCCACCCTGACTGACGGGCACCGGGGCATCTCAGGATTCTGCTCCCAGGTTCCCCCTCTTTGCCAGGACCTTGGCCATGCCCCACCCTGCGATTATTCGGAACAATATGAGGTCTCCTCCCATGCCCTTCCCACCCCCACGTGGGACAGGAAGGACCCTGAGGGTCCAGGAGTGTCCCGACTTCTGAGAGGAGGCCGGCCGGAGGGAGGGGCCTGCAGGGCCGGCAGCGAGAGCTCGGGGTTGAGGTTTTTAAACACATTAAAGTTATTTCTCTAGGACCTGGATTTTCACAGTGAATCTGAGCCCAGGCAAAGGACATGGTGGCCGCACGTTTTCCAGGGTCATACCCAGGGTGCTGGGGGCCGGGACCTGTAGGGCTGTTGGCCCCACAGGGTCGTGGGGTGTCCCTTATGCTGTGCTGAGGTGCAGGATCTGAGAAGTAAGGAGACAGGACACTGAAGAACTGGTAAAGAGCATCTGGACTCAGGGCCATGCCACCTGGAGCGGAGATCAGCGAGAGCCCCAAATGCCCAGAAGCATCTGTATTTATTCGGTACAAGCAGGGGGCAGGGTCGTGAGTGAGGTCATCATCTGTAGGTTTAGTAATTGGGCACATGTAATCACGTGAGTAGCAAGCGAGGGGGCCACCCCGTTATGTCACCTGGGCAGAGAGGTGGGCCGTGCGCAGTAGGTGGCCGTGCCGTGCGCAGTAGTGGAGGGTCGTGTACAGAAAAGGGGTCCACCCCCATTAGGTGACCGAGGCAGAGGTGGGCTGTGTGCAGCAGGTGTCGTGTGCAGCACTTCATATCTGGGGGCGGGAGGCTTCAAAGGGTTTCTAATAGAAGGATGCTGTAAGCCAGTGCAATGGGAGCTGACAGACGTGTGCTCTTCTCTAAGATATTTATGGGAGGATGATTTGAGCCAGCACAGAAGCGAGAAAAGACTGACAGGGTGCACAGCCGCCGCGACTGGTCACACCAGGGGGGTTCTTCTCCCTCGGTTACTTCCAGGATCTCAGGCCTGAGGCCGACTTTCCACAGGAACTGGATGCAAGGTGCTACAACTCCTTTATCAGGAGGAGAAGCTCCTGCTCCAGGCCTGCCATACGGCGTTTGCCCTTTCAGGCAGGGGCGCCACCGCCTGGGTCTCTGGTTCTCGTCCTGGTCTGGCTGTTCTCCCATGTACTGCGTCTGTTCTGTGACTGCTCCAGGCATTCCTCCTAGTACAAACTACTATACGGTTGTATGGAAGGATTCTATAAATCAGCACTAAATGTGTCGGTACGGTTCCAACTACGATACCTGTGTGATTATATAGGAAGATTATACAGAGCTAAGTAGATATAACTATTGTCAGATTATGTAAACTAGCTATATGTAAGCAGTAAGTTACACTTCAGGCACTAATTTTGTAAACTAATATGTGATTATCTATAAAGAATTATATAAAGGAAATAGCTGAGTAATAACACTGTAAACTAAGATATTCTTTAGACACTAATTGTGCCTGGGGTCTGGACAGTTTTCCTTTCTCGGTGTCCATGGGGGTGTCACCCATAGGGCCAGGCCTCCTGTGTGTGGCCACCCTATGTTGGGGCCACCCTGTGTTGAGTGCTGTGGTCTGGGGGACTAAGCCCCCGTGTGTGGTCCCCGCAAGCTTGCCTGGCTGTGGTCAGTCTGCCCACACGCTGGAGCATTGGAACAGGGGCAGTGGCCCCTGATCGTGTGCTGAGAACCAGGGGGTGGCACAGCTGTGCCTTACAGGGCTCAGGCTGGCCAGTGGTTTAGAGGACTCAGGGATTCAGTAGGGCTTTTTGGGATCCCTTTGCAGTGTCCCCAGGGCTGGAGTCAGGCTCCACGTCTTCCCAGTCTCTCCTCCCAGCCGTCTCCTCCTGGGACCTGCAGGCGGAAGAGGCAGTCAGACCTGGGCTGGCATGGTGAGAGAAGGACTGGTCCCCTCTGTCCCAGGAAGCCCCTGTCAGCCTCCTGTGTCCCAGGAAGCCCCGCCAGCCCTCCTGTGTCCCAGGAA